TTGATGAATAAAAGTGGAGTTTGTAGTGAGACTAAAGATAGGCAGCAAATTGAAGTAAGGAGCAGAAGGTCATAGCCTTTCCTTGGTAGATTTCTATTTGGGGAGCCAACATTACAATCTATGGGCCTTTATTTAGGAATATGACGAGAGAAGAAGCTTATGGTGACTAGTAGCAGCAATGGAAGCCAGTGAAAGAAATAATGATAGCTAAGTGACATCCTAAACATGTTTTAATTTTCAAAATAAGCAGTTCAGGTGGGCAATATCTTTATCCTATTTTAAAGATGAGGATGCTGAGACTTAAGTTCACATAGCTAGGTAAGAAGCAGAGCTCCAATTCAAAACCATATATGTCTGTCTCCAAAGCCCATGGTCTTTACCAATATGAAAATAATTACTGCTCTAAGTAATAAGTCCCTACTAGCCATTGTCATAAGCCAAATTATTATGTAGGAAATGTGGGGAGAAAAATTGCATGAGTAAATGATACATCCTTATTAAAATTCAATACTATTTTTTTAGTCGTTACCATTCAGTACCTCCTGAGTCATCTTTTTCCACACTTTTACTGGAGTTTATTCCCCCACCCCCAATCTAACCTTGAAATGTTTTCTTGACATCTACGCAATGGAAAAGGAGAGGAAAAATGGTTCTGAATATCCATACCGCTTAAAATATTGTTTTGTCCTTATACATAAAATATATATTAAAATGCATAATGAAAGGATCTATTGGATTAATACAATTAATAAAAAAGTTTTAGGAAAATGCCTACTTACTTAAACTCTCTGATAAAGTCACCAGAAAGGAATCAGCAGCTTAACCTATATCAAGGTGACCAAGTTAAAACAATACTGTGCCATGTTTATACATTGACCTCACAGAACTCCTTTTCTAACGTTAATTTATAAAACTGAAGTATTACTTTATGTGTAATGCGAATGATAAAAGGTGAGGACAATGATGTAACATGTGGAATGAAATGATGCCTGGCTCAGTAATCTGGAATCTGAGTCAAGAACTTTTCTAGGCAGTAGAGAACACACTCAGCAAGATAAACAGGGGCCCTGCTTTCACAAAGCTTGCATTCTAGGACTGACTCTAAGTGTATAAGCACACAAGAGATTTCAACTTAGTAGTAAATCTATGAAAATAATAAAATTCTTGAGAACTATGACAGAGAATATGGCAGTAGTCAGGCAGGACCTTGCTGTGCAAGTATCACTTGAGCTAAGATGTCAATAAGAAGGAACTATCCTTGGGAAGATCTGGGGTAAGGTTGGACCAGGCAAAGGGAGCAGCAGGAGGCAGATCCTGAGTTAGGCATGAGAGAAAAGACCAGCACGGCCAGAGAAAACCACAAATGGAAAAGCAGTTTGAAATGATGTGGGAGAAGTTGGGAGAAGCCAGAATGAAGAGGGCCTTGTAGACCACATATACAAAAATGTCACTGAAAGAGAAAAGCCCCTACTAAAAAGCTAGCAGAAGCCAAAATAAGCAATAGGGTGACACAGGGTTAATTTCCAAAAAAAATTAATGAGGTAATGAAGTTAATTATCAAAGAAGAGACATGTTATCACTTTTGGCATATTTCAGTGTCCAACACAATGTTGCGTGAACTCTATGTTCTTAGGCACTTAAAGTCCTATTCATTTCTTATTATCAGAAAGTGGCTGGTAACTGTGTTTCCAAACCTGATATATAACTAGTATAAACTAGTGGATGTCATAAAATGACCCTGGACCTGGAGCCAGCAGGTCCATACTGGAAGGTCCATACTACACATACTGGGCACTCCACTTGACCTCTTTGGGATTGTTTCCTTATATGGAAGTTTAAAAAATTTCTACCACCTAGGGCAATTGTAGACATTAAATAAGAAAATGTTTTTTAAAGTTTCTTAAAAATTGTAAAGCATTATCCCAACATTTCTTATGGGTTTTAAAATTCTTTTTAACATTTCTTGTTAAAATTTCCTGTCGTTGTTTTCAAGTAAATCCACTAGAGGTCAGAATTTCACATAAATTGTTTAAACAAACCACTAAGGTGGGAAAAAACCATTTTTCTATTAAGCAGCATAAAATAATAAATTTAAGGAATAGAAAGAAAAATAATGATGGTTTACAACAGAGAATTGTTGATAACTAAAACAGTGCTTATTCACAAAATTGTTACTCAACAGACTTAGACAGGGAGAGGAAGGAAAGATAAATAGAACTTGTTAAATATCTATTTATAATGTCTACACAGCTTAAAGCTTTTACTGATTATCTTCTATTATTCTTAAAACAGGTCTATGATGAAGGCCCATTTTGCAAATCAGATTGACTCATTTCTTTCTTTCCGCTGAATCATGCTTTGGAAATAATACTGTTAAAAAAGTCTGTATGTCAGTCAATATATTCTACGATGGGTTATCCTTATGGTTTTTCACCTGCAATTCTAAGTAATATATTTAGTTTCCACTTTCTCAAATAAATTTAGTGAAAATTCCTTTTATTGTCCTTTTCCAAAGTGTCTAGAAGTTTCCGAGCACAGTGCTGCAGTGCTCGTAAATATGGTAATGAAATGACTAGCTACAGAGAAAAATATAGACCAGCTTCATTTTATGAAAAAATACATTGAACAAAAGCAATAGCCCAGTCCTTTAAAATGTTTACTTAGCCATTAAGATATTTTTTTGAGAGCTAAATATAAAAAATTGCCTTGTTTGGGGGTGGGGAAGTTTACAGTACAATGAAGGAATCAGGTAGAGTAAATGGCAGTTTATATCTTGAGAGAAGGTGCCACTTTTGGGGTTTTTTTTTTTTTTTTTTTTTTTTTTTTTTGGTGTACGCACAACATCTAGCACAGTGCCTAGAGCAGAGGAAGGGCAGCAATGACTATGCTTATGTTGTTCCATGTGCATGTGTAGGCAGTTTGCAAAGATAAAAAACAAGTTAACTGGGTGTTGACCCTGAGACTTTGCAGTCTAATACCAATCTTAATATGTAGATACAAGTTCTAGGACAGGTTCCTTACCTTAGCTTCAAGCTCTTAGCATCTAATATGATGCCTGGGACTTAGTAGGTGTTCAGGTTCAGTACATTCCAGAATCATGGAATATCTTTACTAAGAAGGGAAATTAGAATAGGTTTGCTGCAAATAGCTTGTAATCATCTCATAATTCCTATACAAGCTCAGGAACAGAGTTAAAGAGGTTTTCATTGTTTGAAATCTTAACAGGGTTTCTAAAGGAATCGAGAAGCTTTGTGTTAGATAAAACGACAATAGTAGACAGACTCATGATGGCTAACCTGTTGATATTTAACAAATATTAATTGTGTATGGATTGAAGTGATAAGTAAAGTGGTTTAAAAATATTGGAAAGTATACTTCTTGTCTATTTCTTGGAAGGATTTGAGATTTTTCCTATACTTGGTAAACTCTCAAAAGCGAGGATTAATGGAATTCTTTACCAAGCACATTCTACACATTTTCTTTTCTTGTTTCTGCCAAACTCTACCCACTCCCTGGAATGCACTTCTTCCCTGTCTTCCCAAAAGAATCATACCTAAGGCCCAACTCAATAGCTCCCTTCTCAGAAAATCTCTTCAGCTCTCTGCTAAATCATTGATCTCTCCATAACACTAATATATATTATTTAATGTATTCTTGTGCCTAAATTAGTGCTTCACACCTAATGGGTATTCAATATATGTTGGATGAATTGGACTGAATGGAATTGTTAAACTAGAACGCATTATATTTTGAACACCATTTTAACAACACTTTGTCCGCTCTTCTAGTTTAGAAGTTGCAGTTTCTTTGCAAGGAAAATTGTTTAACAGTGCTATTCTCAAATGGATTCTCCCATTTGCAGAAACAAGAAAAACTTTAATTTTCAGCACCTCTCATGACATCCTAGGAATAATACAAAGTTTCCTACACTCTGGAAAGTATAATAATGGTTTTAATTAAACACTTTATTTCTAATCGAAACTTTCTTTTCTGAACATTTGCCCTCACATTATTCATTTATTCACCCGAGAAATTATTTGGGAGCTTCAAGGTCTCATTGTTTCTCCTACCATTTATTTTACAGTATCAAAGGTTAAAACTTGGATCACAATCTAAGAGGGAAATTAATTCACTGATTAAGAAAAATGCATTTTAAGCAATACACATTGAAATAACTGACACGCATAAGGCAATGTATTTCATTTTTTTTTTTTTTAGGAAAGACCCTTTTTTCTACTTAAAATTTTAAGCAGCTGCAATCTTCCAGCCTGTAGCCTGGAGAAATATAGCATGAATGACTAATAAGGGTGCACCAATCTGCAGCGCAGTGACCACTTTGAGAACAAATGGGTGAGAGATGAAACCAGAAAAACAGATTTTTTTTTTACTGACCAGTTGCTTGAAGCTATTTGGACCTTGGTTCTACTTGAAAAAATCTTACAGCATTGCATCATTCTTCAGCTGAAGGCACTTAGCCCCAAAGACTCCACTTTCAAATAAAGAAATGTTCATTTGTATACTACTTCCAATTCTTGACAAAAAATTTCCTATCTTGTTTAGTGGAACCCTGGAGCCCATTAATTTATAAAATATGTATTTACGATCTAATTTTTACCTTACTGAACTTTTGCATAAATAGCTTTACCAAAATCATGAGAAAGAAGCAGGATAAAAACAGCTCAAGAGTAGAGATACTGTTAAAGAAAGGATTCCTGGAGACTAATGCCTTGATTGCACATCTTCCCCTGCAGCAGAATGAAAGATGGAATTTCCCCTTGCCCTGGGTGAGTTTTGGGATTCCTGCCCCAGGGTTCCATCCCTTCCCAACCTTCTCTTACCTAACATTCAGGGAGAGCTTTAAATAAGTAAGAGACCATTGATTTCCCAAAATAGAAGGAAAGGGTGAGAAGAGAAAGTCATTGAGAAGCTAGGATGGGGTTGAGAGATGAGGAAAGAGATCATATTTATTATACATGAAGATTCTGGTTTTCTTTCCTCACCTTTGGGTCCTGGTGAAATTGTGTGTGTGGCACAAACTTCAGTGGTAGGACGACTATCGATGTCCAGACCCAGACTCTGAATTTGCAAAAGAAATAGCACCAGGAGGATAAACTGGTTCCTTCCATGCAGGGCTCCAAAGCCATTCATTGCTGTGGTTTCTCAAAAAATGATCTCCCAGATATGCCAAATAAACTGCTTTATTTAAAATAATGCCTCCTTTTGGGGGGAAGAAAGGGAAGTATCTGGATCACACATTCCAAAAAGGGCTACAAAGACAAGAAGGAAGCATATCCTCAGTTGTTTATTTTCTCAGTATTCCAAACGAACCATACATTGTCCAGACTGTTTATTTTCAAGTGACAAGAGTTTATTGAGAAGTATCTCTGAACTAAACACTCAAATGTGCAGGTCAGCAGAAACATCCCAAGAGCAGAGACAATAGAGATGCTTTCTGCTCAGTACTTGAGCTGACACTTTAATAGGTTATATTGCATTTAAATGCTAGGTTCCAGAAAGGTTGTGAACCAGAGATTTATTCAGTTTTCTATATGTTGTGCAAACACTATCCAGGCTTTTGAGCTTTTCATAACATAATATTCATTACCTGCTTGTGCAAGTTGAACACTAATGCTCCCAATGCTCTCCATGATCTTATTTTCTTCTTTTGTGACCAAGAATTCTCTCAGGGTTAAACCCAAAGGGAAAGAATAACCAGCTTTTCTGCAAAGCAATTTTGCAATAAGTACTAAGAATATAAAAATGTTTATAACCTTTGGCTTAGTAATTGCCCTTCTGGTACACTATCTCAAGGAAATATTCTAATGGACAAAGCTTTATTTTAGGAAATATGGCAAAAAGGGAAGGGACATTAACTGCCTAACAACGCATTAATTATTTGTAAATTGTGGTAAATAGGAATGTATTAGAGAGTATGACATGACAATTTTATTAAAATGATGTTTGTAAGCGTTTTTGAAAAAATAGGGAAAAAATACAGTAATATGTTTCTGAAAAAATTTAATAGATTTAGGTATAAATTATATAGATCTGATATACACATAGATATAGAGATCAAGATCTCTCTCTAACTGTCTATCTGTCTATCTATCTAGTCCACTAACACATAACCTGTATGACTAACCGAGGCTTAGTAAGATATTGGAAGACTAGAACCAGAATCCCAAACACAGGAGAGGCCCCTTACGCCCTCTGTGCTTGAAAAGGCGTGCTAACTAAGAGTTGGGTGAAAAGGATTTTAGATCTACTTTCCATGAAATTTAAAAAGAAGGACCTTACAGATCTTGATAAGGATCAACTGCTAAAGAAGTATCCCTAAGAGATGTCATTACAAGTAATAGTCAATCCAAGAAATATAGGTGTATTAATGTCTTAGGGCTGCCATAACAAAGTGCCACAAACTGAGTGGCTTAAACCTTCTGAGGTGACTTTAACACATGAATTTCAGGATGGGAGGGCCACAGTTCAACCTGTAACAAGAGACTTTATAGTATGACTGAAATGATTTAAAAAAATTTTTTTTATCTATTGAAACATAGTTGATTGTACATACCGTGGGGTACAGTGCTGCATATCCATACCCGTGTGCAATATGTGAGGCTCAAATTAGACTAATTAGTATGTACAACATTACACAATGTAATCATTTTTATGATCTTTACATAAGCGATACATGGAGAGGGAAGGAAAGAAACTGGCATTGATTGAATAGTCTTTATGGGTAGGCTGAGGGCTGGTCTCAACTTAAGTTTATCTTATTTAAGCCTCAAAACAGCCCTGTGGAATAGGCAGTAATCCTTCCATTTTGCAAACAATTGGCTAAGGCTCAGAAAAGTTAAGCAGTTTGCATAAGGTCATTCATTGAAAAAGAGACCGGAACCCCCCCCCCCAAAAAAAACCCAAATTATTTCCTAAAAGTCCTGCTTTTAAAATACTATTTGGGGGGTTGCTCAGTTAGTTCAGTTCATTGGAGCATTGTGCTGATAATATCAACATCCAGGGTTAGAACCCTGTACCAGCCAGCTGCTAAAAATAAATAAAATAAAATAAAATACTATTTGGTTTTGACAAAAATGAATATTCTAGAGTATTGTAGACACATTAATTTTCACACATTTGAAACATCCAAAGTGGATGCATTTGTCAGGTTAACAGTGATAGCAAAATAGTGAGAATTAATAGAATAATGTTTGAAGCCTCAAATTTCACATCTGTCATAACATAGAGCAAATTACTCAGTTTTAATTGCCACAAGGCATATAGAGTGAGTTTGGATTTGATATTTAATGTTCTCTCCAAATTCTATGATTCTTTAAAAAATTGGCCCTCTTTAATTTGTTTAGGTTACTGTAAATCTGTTTTGCTTCTTTTGTTTCTTTTCCTTGGCAAACAGTGAAAATAGAATTATTACATGTATACACAGAAAGCCACTGGCAATAATTTGAAACAAATAATAGTCCTTAGTATTTTTCCTTGGCATATCCTATTTCTCTTTTCTCCTATCTTTATTTATTTATTTATTTATTTATTTTTACTCAACAATGCATATAAACATATTTCTATATCAACTAAAAAAATATTACATGAAAATTTGAATTGTTATAGAGTATTTGTCACATATTATATACATAAAACTATTTAATCAACCAATGCCCTCTTGTTCAGAATTTAAATATTTTGATATATTAGTGTAAATATCACTGTGATGAACATCTTTACAGCTCAATCTATGTGCCCATTCCTCTTGACCCTTGAAGACGTGTGCATATGGCTTGATAAGTCATTGAATGCTGAGAACAAGAGTGAAGACATTTAAAAAATAACTCATATATTATAGTTAAATTGTACTCACTTCTCTCATGCCCCTGTCCCCAGGGCTAATTTTTTTTTTTTTGATATGGCTTTAAAACTGTAGTCGCCTTTCTTCCTTATTGATAAACAAGGGAACTTATAAGTAAGTGAATATTCAAAGAGGACTTTTATGGACCATAGAGGGCTGCTCTACTTTGAGCCAGGATTTACCAAGAAATGTAACCTTAAAAATTACTCTGCTGCTTCAGTTTGAATGACTGGAAAAATGTTATTGCACTGAGTAAAACTGATAAGAATTAGTTTTGTTGGAAGAATAATGGGGCTGGTTGAGTTTAAGGGTCATGGAAACAACAGAATGGTGATTATAAGCTGGAAGTTTGGAATGTAGGTTTTGAGTCTAGGTGAAAGTCTAGAACTTGAGATTTTTAATTTGGGAGTCATAGAGACTGAAAGGTATGATCATGACTGAAGTCATAGAGTATGAGGTTACAGAGAAAAGTAGATATTGAGGGGGAAGAGAAGTTTACGAAGATAAATGTTGAGATACCTACATTTAGGAGCCTGAAGGAGAAGGAAGGGCTAGCAATTAAATCAGAAAGGTAGCAAAATGTAATGGAAGCCGAAGAATAAGAAAAATATAAACATATTGCTGGTGCCAAATAATGCATGGAAGCATAAGATGAAGGCTGAGACAAGCTATGGGATTTAGGAGTCAATAATTTGTAAACAGACCTGTGTGAATGAAATAGACTATCCAGTGGAGAGATTTCAAAAATAGGAGAGGAAAAAAGTGACAAAGGTGTCTCCTGACCACTGGGAAAGTCATTATTGAATAGTCATGATAATAATAAAATTAATAGAAATAACACCTACTTTTATTGAATGCCATGTGGCAGGTGCTATGCTAAAGATTTAACATATGAACATTTTTCATGTGTCTGTTGGCCATTTGTATATCCTCTTTTGAGAAATGCCTATTCAGCTCCTTTGCTGCAGCAACATGGATGAACTTAGAGGAAATTATGTTAAGTGAAATAAGCCAGACACAGGAAGAGAAATACCACATGTCCTCACTCAAAAGTGGGAGCTGAAAGAAAGAGAGAAAGAGAGAGAGAGAGAAAAAGAAAGAAAGAAAGAAAGAAAGAAAGAAAGAAAGAAAGAAAGAAAGAAAGAAAGAAAGAAAGAAAGAAAGAAAGAAAGAAAGAATCATGATAATACATTAAAATTCCAAAAAAAGAGAGAGAGAATATAACTGTGGTTATTAGAGATAAGAAAGGCAGAGGAGGAGAGGGGTTGGTGAGAGACTAGTTAAGGGTCACAAAGACTGATTATGTTTTGTAAACATGAGTATACTAATTATCCTGTCTGCTGTCATCTTCCATTTCCCAAGCATGAAAATTCCAGCCTTAGCTTTATGCTTGTCCAAATATGATATACCACTAAAGTGAACAACAAGAGATATTCACCATCCCCTGTTATTCCTCTACTTGTTTTAAGTGGGTTGAGTGGTGGCTCCCAAAAAAGATGTGTCCACATCTTGACCCTAGAACCTGTGAATATGACCTTATTTTACAAACAGGTCTTTGCACATGTAATTAAGCTAAGGTACTCAAGATGAGATCATCTTGGAGTATTTGGGTGGGCCCTAAGTCCAAATGACAAGAGCCTTTATAAGAGACACCCAAGGGAAAGAGACAGGGGCAAGAGGAGAAGGCTATGTGAAGACTGATGCGGAGATTGGAGTTAGACAACTACAAGCTAAGGAAAGGACTTTACAGTTACCAGAATCTACAAAAGGTGAGGAAGGATTTTTCCCTAGAGCCTTCAGAGTGAGATCAGCCCTGCTGACACCTTGATTTTGTTCTTTTGGCCTTCAGAACGGTGAGGTAATAAATTTCCTTTGTTTTGAGTTACTAGATTTATGGTAATTTGTTACAGCAGCCCTAGAAAATGAATACACCATTTTTGTGATATTCATCCACAGTGACTGAAAGAAACAACACATCAGAACATTTGCTTAGTGCCTGATAGAGACCTAGCAACCTCTGTGCTCATGTATTTTAATTATCATGCACTCAGCTTTGATGATATCTGGAGGGAAAGTAAAATTCAGGATAGGAAACAAGCATATCCTAAGGCAGAAATTGAATGGCATGGTAAGTGAGGCAAAGCAATCAACACTAATTTTCTACTAAATTTGTTGGTGAAAAAAAGAAAAATAATGTAAAGAAAGTATTTGTAGAACCCTAACTGTGAATCATTGAAGCACTGAAGGGGATGGTGTATACAGGTGAAAATTGTGAGCCTGATGCCTACATTATTTAAAAATTGGTGCAGTTTCCTTGATAACCCAATAAATATTGTTACCAGGTACACAGGTCTGGCTGCCTGCCCCTCTTTCAAAAGCAAACCA